ACCTCAGAGTATTTATTAATAAACTGTGTTTATAGGTGTTAATAGTCGTACAATAAATTCCTCAAGGCTCTCAGGAAAACTGCTTTAATCCCAGAAGACTTACAAGGATGGAGAAGTCATCTGGGTTTTTGTGGATATGAAAATTAGACAGCAATTTATGCTACTGAAATCTTAACAAATAAAAAGTTACTCTTTGGAATATACAAGTATATCATGGTAACAAGTTTTTAAAAACTGCCTTGAAAGATTATTTTAGTAAATCACCGCAACTAGTACAGATCAATTTTTTAAAACATATTATGGAACTGAAATATCCTCATTCTGCTTTCCAAGTCTTATGCAACTGAATGTTTTTGAAAAATCAGGCCTTAGGAAAATGGGCATCCATGCGACTATTGGGTCTACTTCTTCTTTTGTCATACCTAGTTTGTGTGGTGACATTTTTGGCCACAGAGTAACTGCCAGCTGTCATCTTGGAAATCCAGCACTGCAATTTAATATCAGAATAAGCTTACGGTCTATAATTATTTGGGCCACAAGCTGTGAATTAAATTGGTATGCGGGAGATCATTGATCATATCAGATTACAGGTTGAGATGAACAGAGGGCATATTTCAAAGTTTGTAGCTTGGTGAAGTGGTCAAAGTACAGGAGGTATGGGCTTTGAAGAGGTGAGTTAAAGTGGAATTTTATTTCAGTCTTGCCAAAGTTCACTCATGGATAAACAGTGGAAGGATATAGTCAATGATTTCTAGGGAAAATGCTAAACTGCTAAAACTTTGCATCAGATGTCACACCAGACAATGAATGAAATAAAGCAATTTAGGAGAAGTTCTACATACACAGATGAAAATGGGTAAAGGGTCTGGAGTGGGGGGGCTGTCTGTGTGTTCAAAGTCTGAAATGGGGTGTGAGGAAGGACTATCACCAGGTGTGCAGAACCCTGAGGCAGATATTGTTCAGCATACACTGCCCACCACTTCATGGTTCTGAACTTGCGATCTTAGCAGAAACGTCCCCTGAGATAATCACACTTATTTGCTTCTTTAGGCAGAGCGGGGGTCCTTGGTAATGGCACTGGGGGCTGAACCTGGACTCTCCTTAGGCTGTCAGCTTGTACTGTCCTCCTAACAGCAGGACACCACTTACTCTGAAAGCAGGCCGTCAGGAAGCCATGGCTGGCAGGGAGGCAGACATGTTGGTGCTGACATCTCCGAGTAGAATCCCCATAGAAACGACACCTTTCCCAGCAACAGCTTTTTGAGAAGATACATGAGATGTGCTTCAGGGAAGAGCTCATGCATCATGATATGTTACACGATAGGAACGTGTTAAATGATAAAGGAAGCAGATTGGTTTTGTTCTGACCCTGTTGATGGCACAATAAGAAATAGATTAAAATATGTGGAACTTTGTTAAAGAGTGAGAAAAGTCCTGCATCTGCTATGGGTGAAGTGGTGGTGAGCTGGTAATTTCAGACCATACTTGCCAGGTAAGAGCATGCTACACCCATCACTGTCACTAACTGCTGCGTACATCCATCTGGCTGTGTAGAGGTAAGTAATTGTGACAAACTATAGTTCCAGGAGAGTGGAACTACTATTACTACTATTATTTGGAGGATGCACCATGCATAAATGGAGAAGAGTGTGATATCTGGAGGGGCTTGTATGGTTCACAGGTCGTGGCGCGCTTCTTAATTAAACAGATAACAGATTTGTCATTTGTTATAACTTTAAGGTTGAAGCTTTTCAAAACTGATTTGCAAAACAGCATGAAGAAAAGCTGTCTGTCAATGTGAAGTTGAGGATGTGTTTAGGTTCTTTCAAGTGTTAATTGGAATGAATCTGAGAAACCTGCCTTCCCTGCTCGGCTTGGAAGTTTATTCTGAACTTTCTCCATTTTCACTGAAGTTTTTGATGTCGTCTATCCGGATTTTGTTTGCAGTACTGTGTTCAGTTAAGTCTGATGATCATTTTCAGGGCTTTAGACTTAACCCCCCTCTGCTACACTGGACACTGAGGATAGGGGGTTGTGCAATAAAACCATTTTCTCTGTGCCAGACTTGTGTAAATGTAGGCTAATTTCTTAAGTACTGTATACTGTTTGCTACTGGTGTGCATTTTGGTTGCTGGTTTGACTTCATTACAGTGGGCCAATAAAAAGACATGCAGCAGCTTACATACTCATGAAGAGGACTCCCCACCCCCACCCCATACCTGCCCCCCCGACACTCCAGGGCTATTTTTAATTTTCAGGGACTGGTAATAAGCAGTATAAAACTAAACGTGATTATCAGTAAACATACGTCTCTGTCACTCAGGTGCCCCCCAGTCCTCAGCCTATGGGAACCGTCGGTGGTCTTCAGCCCCCAGCTTTCCCAGCACACATGGGGCTACCACCCCCCGCCTTTCCTCCTGGGGTGCCACCGCCACCCCCTCCCCCCTTTATGCGACCAGGATTCAACCCTATGCAGATGCCTCCAGGTACCTGACCTACCAATCTTCCTGGGTACACTAGTGTTTCTCAAGGGTATGGAATTATAGTCTGGTTGATAACTAGACCCAAGGGGGTAGTTAAATGTTGACCAGTCTTCTACTCTTTCAGGATTTCTCCCGCCCAATGCCATGCCCCCATTGGGATCTACAGGACCCCCCCCACCTGCCGTGAACATGCCCTCATGTAAGCAAAAGGGCACATCTTTTCCATCCTGAGTCAGGGTGGGATTCACCTGGTGTTTTTTTTCCCTTCTTTCTTCCATATTTTGCTTTCCACTTAATTTAAACGTGTGTTGGTCCATATGCAGCAACTGTGCCTGGTAGCTCGGACGACCCTTCCAACCCGTCCAATGATCCTGGGGCAAGGAACAGTGGTGAAGCTGTGCATGGCTCGGTGCCGGGGCTGAGCCAGGGGGGCATGCCCCAGCAGATGGCCGGAATGGGTCGGTACCTCCCGTCTCTCCTTGGTCACAGTCATGCTGTAAATTCTGTAAATATCCATACCAGTTCTTCCCCTATTTTTTTTAAATTTCAGTAAGACTAGAGGAGGACATTTTGTTGTATTTGTGCCTGAAAAGTACTGATGACTATAAGTGGCCAATCTGCTTTTGTTATAGGGAATCAGGTGGCTGCTCCTCCAGGAGGTCCACCCTCGGGGGGTCTCCTGGGTGCCCGGCCCGGCATGATACCCCTGCAGCGCCCCCCAGGAGTGCCGCCCCCGCACATGCAGCGCTTTCCCCTCCACCCACCTCGCCCCAACATGCCCCCCATGCCTCCCCAGATGATGCACAGGGGCCCCCCTCAGATGATGCATCGAGAACCTCCACCAGGAGGTTTCGGGATGCCGCCGCCTCACCCCATCAGGGGACCTTTCTCCCCTCACGGGCCCCCTTTCCTAAGGCCCGGTGGCCCTAGGGGCCCAGAGGGGCCTGATGAACGAGAGGGCAGGCCCTTCAGAAATGAGCGGCCTGGTTTCGGACGGGACAGGGATCAGGAACGGTTTGGGGGGCGACGGCCACCTTACGCCGGTGGGAGTGAGGGGCGTGGCGGGGAGCGGCCGGAGGGACGGGAACGCTTCGGGAACCGGCACGAGGAATTTGAGCAGCGGGGAGGCTGGGACCGGGAACGCCGGGACTGGGGACGTAGCCCGGAGCAAGAGCGTGCCCGGGACCCGGAGGAGCGGGGGCGCCGCACCAGCGGCCACAGGGACCGTGAGCCTGGGACAAGGGAGAGGAGCACACGCTGGGACAGGGATGACCGGCGGGACAAGGCCGACGAGGCAGACGGTGCCGACCGGTACCGTGACACTGACGGCACCGAGCCCTCTGCAGACTCTGTTAAAGAACTAACCCAGCAGGACCCAGTACCACAACTGCCGGCCCAGCCCTCAGAAGTGACTGCGGAGCCCACGAGCTCAGAGCCCTCAGCAGTGACAAAACCTGCAGAAAAAGCCCAGGAGACAGAATCCTAGAGTTCAAATAGACGTGCTTCACACGTACAAATTAAAGAAAAACTATATATCTAACCGTGAATCTCTTGGCACGTGGAGCGCTGCCCTGTAAACGTCCCATTTTTGAGTTTGAATGTCATAAGAAAAACAAACAAAAAAGAAACCAACAAAGAATAATGCTGTAAATATGCTTATGCGGCTCAGCAGCTATTTGTAGTTTTCAGGGGGAAGCTTTGGTCATACCCCTTTGTGTTTTGAAGAAATAGAATCCAAATGACACAAAGAAAACAAACAAAAGGCCCTTTTGCAGTAAAGTTTTTTAACTTTAAATGTTTACAACACATAGGAAATGAGATGTTTCTATAATTTTTAAGTTAATAAAGAAAAACATGAAATTAAATTTCCTCCAAAATTTGAGCTTTAGGGATTTGTTTTTAATAAACTATTTTCGTACCGATTTTGTGTCATTATCGTTTATTTATTGCGGTTAACTGAAATTATTTAGTATATCTACTTTGGCAGGCCACAGAATATCATACATGTTTCTTCCACCCGCTTATTCAAATCAGGGTCTCGGCGGTGGCTTGACAGTCAGATCCGGGCAGGATGCGCGTACACAAAAAACGCACTACGAGCAATTCATACAGACGTGAAGTAACGATCACCATACTTATCGTAGTTCATGTGACTCTTAGACGTAGGGCAGAAAATCTTCAAGGACGGTTGATTCGTTCACCAAGAAGCGTAGTTCACGTATGCAACCTTTTGCAACATATTCACCTGCCTACGAAGCTGAACACACCACGCACTATCTATTTCCCTGGCTAGTGACTGAGCTGACAGGCCTGGCTGTGAGTCTGCGGTTTATGTGGTACTTAGCCATATTTGAATACATTACCCAAACTCAATCAGATGCGGAAACACCTGCGACCGCAACATGGCACCGCCTGACCATGCGCGATAATATCTTGACTTTGGATGCGAGGAACTGAGCATGCGCAGAGAGGGAGGCGTCACTTTGCTCACAGCTAATTGGCTGAGGGGATATTCAGCCCGTCCGCTAGCTATTTATGCTGCTGCGCTTGTGCCGACCTGCGCTTTCGCTTGTGTTGTAGGCAGTGATACGATAGACGTAATGGCGCGGAAGGCTGTATGCGTTCTTAAGGGTTCTGGGGATGTTTTCGGGACTGTGTTTTTTGAGCAGCAGGTAACGTAATGACTCGTTAATTTTTTAATTGTTTGCTGTAGTTGGCGTTTTCGTTGGATGCTATGTTGCGTTTCTCTTCTTGTAAGGCCTAACGTGCTACCATGGAGTTCAATACTTTAGTTTTTTTTTTTTTTTTAACTTTACGTTTATTTAGTGTTCCCTTCATCAATGCACATCGATTTGTCCCTGGTGTAGTTTAGTTCCGGGACTTCAGGTAACATGAATATTCTGACTGATTCACGCTGAAAATGCTCTTTTAACGCAAGTAGCGTTTTCAAATAAGCAGCGTATAAATCGTGCAGTGCAGGCTTAAATCGCATGCTGTGATTAATTCCGCACAGATACTGGTTCTGCTTGCTTGTAAACTGCCCCGCCGAGTCGCCTTGGCCGCCCATGGACGCGCTTTTTCTCTTGGGTGATGACGGTTTTAAGTCCGCGTTTTTCGCACGAAACTGGTGGGAAAGAACATGAGGCTTCGTGCATTTACGGGGTCATTAAATCCACAATGTGGCGGAAGCCTTTGCGGCTGGGATGCGAATAGACAGATGACTTTGACAGCGCAACAGGTAGTTAAATATGCATGTCATTCTATACGCGCTTCAAAGTTTTTTTTTTTTTTTTTTTTTTTAAAACGTCGGTTATCCTGCGTATCCACTTGGCATACAGCATAGTATGTGTTCGTATGCAGAGTTCATAGTGACTCAGCATAATTGTAGCTGTTAGTATCTGTTGTGTTATTTACATTCCGCGCATAACCTCATGTGCACAGTTTATATTTCCAGGTGTATTAGCTACCATAGTGCAGACTAATGTGAATAAATTATGCAATTCATTTGCGAAGTGAAATCCAGTTCCGTCTGTCGCACGAGGGTAACGCGCCGCTGACCGAGGCTCCGTTGCTTGACATTTACTCCCTACCTACTCCTTACGTACTCCCTTGGGGATCCGCTTTCATTACGCATTTTCCACCTGCAGCTAGCATCTGAGGGCTAGGCGTTGCTGTTAAGATTCTTAGATTGTCCATTATGTACACGTCCAGTTTCTATGAGCAAGTGTACTTGTATAAAAACTGGCGAAAGCTCCTCTATGTGTACGCTGCATTGTGTTTACGCTGGTTACGTCATTCTTTGAAACACCTGCATTTGTATATGTTTACCTGTAGTTGGTTATGCAGAGTATGGTTTTAATGCATTGCGTAACTGGCTGCTTACTCTCCCTGTGATAAACTTGAGTTTGTAACGAGAGGATGTGGTGTGAAATATGACTGGCAGGATGATTCGGCTCCTGTGAAGGTGACTGGCGAGATACAGGGCCTAACGCCGGGTCTGCACGGCTTTCACGTCCACACCTTCGGAGATAACACTAACGGTGAGCCCTGTGGCCAGCCTTGGTCCTCGTGGGGGGGCTTGTGTGTACTTTTTAGCTTGCACTTGAAGAGAACCTGTAAATTGCAAGCTCTAAGGAAAATTTTGGCGCTTACTTATCGTGCACCTCATTATTCCACCTGCATATTGGTCTCCCTCTGCTTCAGTTCTGTGCCTTAGTGTCTTTTTCTTGTGGGCTCCCAGGCTGCATGAGCGCTGGCCCTCACTTCAACCCACATAACAAGACTCATGGGGGACCAGCTGACAACATCAGGTGAGGCAAACATTGCCATGATCGATTTGGGCACCATTCCACGTTGTCTGAATGATCCATTGCTTTTTCCTCACTGGCGAGCAGTAGAGGATTTTCTGGTAACTGCTGAGGAATGATCTGGAATTTATAACTGATGCGTAGTCACTGTATGGGGCATTTACAAATTAATTTTAGTATATTGCATAGGATGTTGAGAGTTCTAGGTGCTATAGCGACTTTCAAGATTGAATAGAATAGTGGTACATTGAATTTCCCCACAGGGATTAATGTTATGCCTCCCCGATTTTGACACACACGCACACAGGTGAGAGTAACCCTTGGGGGGTTCAGCACCCCTGAAGCTGACCTATAAGCCCATTGCTAAAGGGCCCACAGACATGCGACTTCTGCTGGGGTTTGAATCAACAACCTTCCAATCACAGGAATTGCATTTATCGTAAATCTATTATAGATTGATTTCCCAACCTGGTCCTCTGGGACCCGCAGATGGTCCACTGTTTGACAAGGAGCTAGGAGGGGATAGAAAATGTGGACTGGCTGGAGTTTCCCTGCGGACTGGGTTGGGAAACACTGCTATAAATAACCAGTTTATCAACCCCTTTTCCCGGCTGATTCCGCGAGTCTTAAGTGTACTTTTGTCTGACATAGTAACTAAAGGTGGATGTGTATCTTAGCCCTCGGCCTTGTGGTATATAATCCAGCTCATTGCTATATGTGTCGATCTCGTGTCCCTTATATAATGGACCCTCTACTCTACAACATGCCATGGGTCACATTGCACTGGATTGGAATAATTCTTCCAACAGAGCTATTTCACTTCAATTTTGAAGTCAACTTTTTAGTCCTGTGAATTAAGAGCAGTCTGGGAAATTCCGCTGCAAAGAAATGTGTAAACCGCAGTTAGAATGGAAGAAATTGGTATCAAGGGATTTATAAATTGCACTTGCATAGATAATTTAAGAAACATCTGGGAAGTCGACATCAATCGGGCTGGTATGAGACTAATTTGAGCAAGAATAATTTGTTCAGTCTTGCTTTCTCATCTCTGCTTTGTTACTCTGCTTTATCCCACCGATCTACTTGCAGAAGTCAGAAATTGATGCAAGACTAGCCTGATTATTACTGCAAGCTCCTCAGTAGCACATTCCAGTCACACGCACTCTGACTACTGTTCTCCTTTTATGCTAAATGCTATAGTTGAGGTATCTAACCTTTTTTCGTTTCTTTTTTTCCCTCCTAGGCATGTTGGTGACCTAGGAAACGTGACTGCTGAAGATAACGTAGCCAAAATTGACATTACTGACAAGCTCATAAGCCTGACTGGACCACACTCTATTATTGGCCGGACAATGGTGGTGAGGGAAATATCTTCCTTTTACCCCCCCTCATTCTCGGTTGACCGTGGGTGTTTCTCAATACCAAGAATGCGAAGACTGTAGTTTGTTCTCACCAAGACCACATCTTGCTAAGTTTTCCCAAGAACGAATTTGAGACTGTGAATCATGGGATTGTTTTTGTTTGGCTTGGATGCAGCTGATGTGTCCTTGATATTTGGGGCGGGGCAAGGATGACGTACAGGGGGCGTTTACCATCCTCCATCCTTTCATTCTAACTATTGGGACTATGGAAGTGGGAGATGATGCAGAACTGGTACACGAACACAAGTATGGTCAATTGTGTGTATTGAGAGACGCCCTATGTTTGACAGACGGGTGCAGTAAAATGTTCCCCCCTCCCATTTGTTGCAGATTCATGAGAAGGCTGATGACCTGGGAAAGGGTGGTGATGATGAGAGTCTGAAGACGGGCAATGCAGGCGGTCGCCTGGCCTGTGGTGTCATAGGCATCGCTCAGTGATTGTCCAAGTCGACCCCAACACGAAGCAATGGAACCACTGTAGAGTAGCTGACGGCGTACCCCTCTTATAAGATGCTCTGTAAGCTTTTGGGCTTGTGTTCCCCAGTAAACTTCGCTTATAAAAAGTGGCCCGTAATGCATTTTCACTTGTTCTTTTCACATTTCCAAAGTTTTTCAGTGTGAGTTGGCTAAGTATCATTTTCAAATGCAAGTTTCAAATGACTATTGTTAACCCTTTTACCAAATGTACTTGTAATCCATGATCTTGTAGTGTTTTTCTTTTTATTTGTATGTCGTAGTTAAAAATGCACATTGCAAGAGTGAGGGACTTTAATTCTGTCTCTGAAGACAGAATTAGAGTCTTAGATGTCTGTGGACCAAAATGTCAACATTCAAGTATTTGTTCCTGGCCATTGAATGACCATGTGATAATTCCTGGTCCTAGAGCTTGGGCTTTAAATGGATGTGAGTGAACTTGGTGTCCACTGTCAGTCACTGATTTGGTTCAGTGTGTCCTGGCCGTTGCTTCGTTTATTCTTACTGGTGGCTAATCTTACCCCGCTAAGTGCATAACCATAGAATTTCAAGCCCCACATTTTACGTCGTAAATGTGTTGGTGATGTTTAAGTTATAGGTCTGACACTAGGTGGCAGTATTTTTTTCTTAATCAAAAATTACGCAATTAACGTCTGTTAACCGCTAGAGGGCACCTTTGTCTTATTAACTCCAGAGTCGGCGCGAAGTTGGAAGACTAAGATTTACTCAGTTATTTGTTCTGTTAGACTGTTTGTGAGCCTTATAAGCTTAGTAATTGGATTTTAAAAAATCAGTACATTTACGAGTTTTACGGGACTGTTAAGATTATCCTGAAAACTGCAAGTCTAGAACGTTTAATCCACTTCCTGACTTCAGTTTAATCCTGACTTCATCTTTAGTATGCCATCTCTTACTGTAGTACATGTTGGATACAATTAAAATTAATCTGCGTATGGACATTTTCAAACCGACGGTGAAATTTGGCTTTTTTCTTTAAGTGCGGATTTCATTTGAATTTCTGAGCCATAAACAATTAAGAATTCCGATGTAATTAAAAAGGGGGGTTGGGGCGTAATGAATTAGCTTCAAATCGATATTTGAGGCAGGTGGTCTCCCGACCTTACATCTGATACCAGGGCTGAGCAGCTGTACATGCAGACGGTGTGGCCCACCGTCCTGAAATTACTCTCCAAACCCCCCCAGGAAGGGAAGATAGTGGGTAGTCTCCAATGTTAGTCTATAACGAGGAGCTCGGCATGTCCTGGAGGGAGGGTTTCGTTCAAAGTTATAATATTCTTCATCTGAATGAAACGCGTACACAAGAGATAATCACAGTCGTCATTATGCACGTCCATGCTAATACAGGGTATGTGTATTCCTACGCAAAGCAGTTACTGTATCCTTGATAAACCTAATATTGGACTAGGGGCAAATCGCCGGTCCGCTAGGCTGAGGAGCGCGTAGGACTGCCAGTGCCGGCAGCTCCTCCCTTTGCTATAGTGCAAAAACAACATGGCAGCTTCTATGGACCGTGCGCTGCACTGAAGCCGCGGTAGCAGCAGGTGATGCCTCTCATCGCTACCTTTCGCTTTTGCTAAATCGAATGTCAGCAATTACAGCGACGAGGATGCCAGGTGAGTAGTATGCAGTTAAGGTCTTGCATGATACCAATTTCCCCTTTCACAGGCTAATTCAATTGAGTAATCGTACCTCACAGATCCGACAGCCTGCGACTTTTTGCGATCTCGCAGGAATGCAGGTAACTGTGCTTAATCATTGCTGCTATGTGTCCGCACCATCTAGTCTCCCCTCTTGGCCGACGTCTCATTCGTAGTGCAAAATGATACATTGATGTTTTCCAATAGCGAGTGTAAAATTGCAGGCGCATTGGTGATGTTTAATTACAAATAAACGCGTCAATAGTCTGTCGGTAGGTGCAACACATTTGCCCGATAGGCGCAGTTTGGCGAGCTGCCTCACATGTTCCATTAAACATGCTGCCGGGCCAATTTGCTTTACGTTTCGCCGGCTACATAATTAACCAAATCGTGTTTGAAAACGTTTTATTAAAAGGTATTTAGACGGCTCTGGCTTTCTTAAACCTCAGCTCTTGTCATCTTAACGTTTTTTTTTGTAGAAATATGAGTCCGGTGCACTATGTCGAATATTCGCAGGGGATAGAGACATTTCTATAGGATTGTTTGTCTTTGCAACCACGTTGGGAATGTCAAACAATATGTAATAGAACGGTATTGTCCGCTTTAAATACCAAAACATGTCTATAACAAAATTAAGACACCATGCACAGCAAGTAATTCTACATCTGTCGGTTGTTTTAAGTCCATTCATTGTGGGTGGCGACGCGTGTTAATGCATGTGTTTTGATTACTTTTAGGAAGACAAACCTCAGTTCAGCCTATACACTGTCGAATATACCTGTTAGCCATTTTATATATGTGTGCATGTACATTATAAGGAGTGTGAGCCAAAAATAAATGCTTTCTATATGAATTACAGAAGCGGCGGCTCGTCACTTAAGTCAGCGACGAAACGTCGTAGGTATAAACCATAAGCGATAGACTTGAGGAAAAAAACATGATTGCCGCAATAACTGAATACATAATAATGCAGTAACATGAAAATATAACGTTTTACCGGTGCGATCCCTCTGTAAGCATCTCATTTTTGGGGCATATGCCTTCGTGAAACCCGGCTTCCACAAACGATTGCTTACGGAAACAGCGGTAGTCAAGGTTATCCGTAATAACATGGTTGCTGTTTTTAAATAGGTGAGGAGAAATGCCAAACTCATTAATTTCACACGTTTTTTTTGATGGCTGGTTGTGAAAACGAGCGAATAGCTTTTAAGCCGTGTGAGAATGTGGCGTGGTACCTGATCCTTCTGCAGATGGACACGCGATGAACTCGGCCCTATAAATTACCTGCCCTTATTTCTAGTGGGCCGGGTAAAACGCATGTTGTGGAGAGGGTGCACTGATCCCTACAGTGGGAGTCAGTCATGGGAGAGGAAAAAATGCATGTGTGCGAGAAGTGGAAAGGCCATCTAATAACGGTTTAATATTATCCCTCCCTTGACTGCCCTCTAAACCATTTCCCTTCCCCTATAGTGTCTCTATTTCATTTAAACATGTAATGAGCGCGATACGGTTCATAACATGTGTCCATTTATTTAATCGGAGGTAAACAGTAGTTTTCAGGAGTGACAGATCTGCCAGCTTGTGTCCCGCCTTTTGGAATGCGCATGTTCACGGCACATTATCCTAATGACGGGGCGCCGCGGCGCCTGGGGGCGGGCATGCAGGCTCACTGCGCCCCGGGTTGCCAGAGGGGCTCCGTGTGACGGGAATGCGGCGCTTTGTCCGACGGGCGCCCGCTGACCGGCCACAGTCCGCACGCCGCTGGGCGCTCAGCCCTCCACCCCCCGGGTACGTGGCCGTCGGTTCGAAAAGAAACAGTGTCGTTCCTGATAGTGTGGCTTTCTTTATATCGTCAGAAATCAGCTCCCTAATGAATGCCTGTTTCGATGGCGGGTGTTCAGTAGCGCACCCCCACCTTCCCGGATTCCCACTTTAGTTATGGGCTGTGAGGAGCTGGCGGTCTTGCAGAGATGTAGGGGCAGTGAGCTGCCACTCAAATCGGGCTGCAACCCCCCTCCAAACCACTGAAGCACATAGCATCAGAAATGACAGCCAGTCACACAGCTCTGAAGGGGGGGGCATTCGTCAGATAATGAGTCAGACCGTCCTCCCTCTACAATATGATCCAAAATACACGTCCTCTATGTTCTTCATGGCTATTTTCCCCAAGCACTGTATTTTCACTTAGCAATCATACTTTCATTTTGAAAATTCCATCTTTTTCCGCAGACATGTTGCATAATCTGTGTCAAGACCACTGCAATGGTTTCGGATGTGTGAAAACGTCAGCTCGCATTGCAATATTCAGATGTTCGAAACAAGTATCAGAATGCAAATGCTGCAGTTCCTCCCAATGGACTCAGAGAAAAAGCGGAGCGTCAAATCTCTTGCCTGTATAAATAGCAATGCTGATTTTTTTTTTTGTTTTACTCACTACTTAAAAACTGACAGTATAGAAGCGGTGCGTTTTCTTACAACGGCGATAAGACTCCCTTTTTAGCCTAACACTGGTCTCCATTATTAGCCCGTAAAGTACCCGGAACTATGTAAATAAAACGATGTCACCGTTACAGATGACTCAATAAGTGCTTGGAGTGGGTGGGGCTACATTTCGATAGCCTTTGTTTACGAATCAATATGTGGGGGGCGGCTTCCTTGTCCTGTCTGACTAGACATCGGTCACCTAGCAACCTTCCCGCAAAGTTAGTAGGCAGGAAGTGATTCAGAAGTGCCTGCACTGTGAGTGAGAACTTGCCTAAGAGCACCTGCGAAGTTGGACTGGTGCAAAGGATTTGAGGGGATGCCACCCAGCCTGCGATTACGGGTTTGGGCTGGCTGCTGGGATGCTGTTTTCTGAAAGCCATACACCAGTGGCCCTTCGTTGTATTTTAATGCCAAATGGCATTAATGTCATTCAAATAAAAGCACCAAGTGCCTCGCAAGAAGTAGGTTTTTATTTTTGAGAATAATTCAGAGCTTTGGCTTTTCTCTCCTGCCAGATTGGTAGCTATGATGGTTTAGTGGAACATATGAGTCAGTAGGTTGGATTTAGATTTTTTCTCTCTCTCTTCCAATCTCTCCTCTTTCCTCATGAGCACATTTAGAGGTTTAAATTGTCCGATTCAGGACCCAGGTATTCTGCGCGTCATAAGTCTCATGTTTTCGGAATCAAAAGCGAACCACATGCCCTCCCATGGCATTTCGAGAAGCCAGATTTTGGACGGGAGATAGTTGAGAACGTGAGATGGCCGTAGGCAGGACAGGCGCATGCTGGGCTTTGTTTGTGTGACCTGGTTTCCCAGTCTAGGTAGGCCAAGTCAACTGGAAGGGGATTTAAAAAAAAAAAACCTATGTCATCATTCTGCATGGGAGCTGTTTAAGTCCCACTGCATTTGCATGCACACGCTGATGTGTTTAGATAGCACTCCACAGCCCTGGAAACCACAGAGAAGTGCAAACAGTTTGCGAGGGTGAAGCACCATTGTGGCAGTTGGGTGCTCAGGATCTCGCCGTATCCAGCGACATTCCAGAATGACTCACCAGCAGATGTAGACCACAACCTGGCTGCAAACCAGTGAATGTTTACTGGTGGTAAATTGGGGGCTTCCTGTGAAAAATGGCCTGGGAGCAGGTTGTAGGTGGTCCCAGGGGGCTGTAAGGTGATCTCATCTGCGTGCAAATTCTTCCACACAGGTGTGAAGTACTCTGATGCTCCTGCAGAGAGACTTGCTAAGACTTGCGGAGTTTTTTGGTCTGCCGTCCAAGGGGAAGCCCAGTGGCCCCATCCCTCTGTGAAGTTACTGCCGTCAGTTCGGAAATAGATGAAATCGTAGAATGGCGACACCCCTACATGAATGAATACGCTGTCATTCTTATGATAATTCCAGCGGTTTATGTCGTGTGTAATGCTGTTGTTCTTTAAAAAAAGGTTTGTAAAATGAAACACAGATGAGCTCTTAAAATGCGCATATTTTACTTTTTTTTTTTTTCCAAAGCTTTCCCACCGTGAATAATTCATTTTCTCCTCACGTTTTGCTTTAATCACCCTTTCATTTTTAAGAAGACTCCTAAGTAAGGAGTTTACTGTTCTTGTTGAGACTTGTGTTTTAAGTGTGTGTGTGTGTGTGTGTGTGTGTGTGTTTCTTCCAAGGGAACTGAAATTAGTCTTATTGTGTACTAATACCACCCCCCCCCCCCCCCACACACACACACACACACACACACACTGCTGTTGATTTAATGTCTGAAAAGGTCTTGATTAAGCTGAGAAAGCTGAACCTTCACTATTTGACACGCCCATTTTTCTGAGTGCGCAGAACTCGTATGGAATTCCATAGGAGCTCCTTTACTTCCACTGGTGAAAGTATTTGAGTGAATTGAAACAGATTTAGCCCATTGCAGCAGGTAATCCACGATGGAGTATACTGCCTGCGCATTGTGTAATGGCTGCACGAATGCTGGGCATCTTCCCAAAAAATCTTTCAAAACATGTTCTCCTCCCTAGCCAAGGACAGTAATACACCCAGGTAATTACTGTATCTCACTGTCAGGCTTCTGCGTTGCCTCTGTTGCCACGGGGACTTGTGCAGGGTTGAACCTTTCCAGTTTTTTTTTCATAACAGTGGTTCTCAGGAGGAGTATTTTCTCACTTTCAGGTGCCGGGGTGACAGTTTTCCATTTTGATTGACAGACAGGATCGAACTGGGAGCGTAATGATTGTCGGGGACTCCTTTGTAGTTTCCGTAGCGTGTGGACAAAGCAATCCATCACCAGGACGTGTCCGGAGCTGTCGAGTGGCTGTCTCTGATCTCGCTGTAGCCCTGAAAGGGCCCTTGGAGCCTTTGGCATGATACCATCCAGTCCTTTGCTCGTGCTGGAGTTCCCACAGACACGGGTGGGTGTGTGTTAATAGAGGCTGCATAGTAATAAACGGTTTAGTTATGCTCATTTTCAGAACTGTTTGACCTCATTGTTCATGGGGCCGATTCACTGGTCTTCCATCTGTGGCCGCTGTTGGATTGTATGGAACGCCAGTCAATGGCGAGTCAAACACACGGTGAACCTGAATGAGCGTCTGCGGGACAAACGTCAGAAAAAGCCG